CCTTCCTTCCTTCCTTCCTTCCTTCCTTCCTTCCTTCCTTCCTTCCTATATTCCTTGAAACTCCCAAATTGTCCCATGTCATAGAACTATGCAGAGCTTATCTCAACCTTCGAGATGAACCAAGATCATCTGGTAACTACTAGCTACTGAGGCATGCAGGGAACAATGCAGGGGAAAGAAAGAGAAGCCTGCTAAATCACTGACCTTCAGGCTCAAACAAGTGGAGCAATTTAATATGGTACCATCAATCCAGGGTACACATGGAAAAGTATTTATGGATTCTAGATCTTTTAATCTGCTTTGTTGAACTGGATTTTTTTCCTGAATAGTTTATATTTCAAATCTATTAATAACAGTTATTTCATTTTAAAGAAAGGTTACCACAGTTACCACATTAATCTTACTTCACTATTTTTCACTGGTGTTACAAATCTGAGCTGCGTAAGGCTTCTCACCCTGATGGTTTTTTACTGTATTGGTACAAAACTGTACTGGGTTATTTTCTTCTGTTTTATTGGAGTTACTGTATAGAAAGTGCCTTTTTAAAAAATACACCCTTATATTTCTAACGAGGCAAACATCACAGTTATTCCTCAGTCAGGCAAGGATACCCCTCTGAATTTTAATTATAGGCCTAGGTTTTTTTATAAATGTGAATGGTGAGATTTCAACAATTATCTTGCCCTGTAAATTATAGCTTGTGCTGGTGTCTCTGGTGCACAGGGCTGGATTTATACAGGGCCATCCAACTTCTGACAACATCAGAGCTGAATTGATTGTAATTATGCTGTTGGATTTGCAGGTTGGAGCAAGAGATAAACTCCAGCAGCACAACTGCTTAGGAAGCTAAGAAAACCATTGATGTGGTTTCTTGGAAATGTTAAGACTGATTTTGAATTGTGCTGCATTTCCCCGAGTAAATGGGCATAGAATATTCAGCTTCTAAGTCATAGGTTAGAAAACATTCCTAGGGTGTCTTCTTTTTATTTATTTATTAAACTTGCACTGTGGTACATAAACGGGCATGCCTTCTCCCCTGCCCACCCCTCTCTGCCTTTTTTAGAACCTCCCATCCTCAGTTCTGAAGAAGCCATTCTTAAAACATGTGTAGTTTGGTCGATCTCAGAGTTATTCTTAAGGGATTTTATTCTGCCTATTCACATGGATGCCTGCTGCGTCTGTATAAATAGCTGGTGCAATTATGAATTATTTATTTATTTAGAAGATGTATTGGATATCAAAAAGATGAATGTTAGGAAAGATGCCAGGAAAGATGCTTACAATTAATATTTGTTAAAATGGTTCCTATATTTACAGTGTTGGAGAATCATCCCTTCAGAGCACCATGGTAAGTCCAAATTCTGGGAGGTATGTAGCCACATACCCATTTCTTATGTGTATGTTGGATATTTTTGTAGCTCTTCGATGTCAACTTCCCTCTCTGTCTCTTTCCCAGTCCCTCCAGTTTCTTAGCCTAAGCATCAGGAAGGGAAAGGTTACATATCGATGAAAATTAGCTGCATTGCTAAGTGTCTGGCAAGTATTGGGTGCCTAGCTGAGAAAAAAGGTGGAAAATAACTATCTAATTTGGGTCAGAGTGGGACGTTTGTTATCTCGTAACTTGCCAGAATAAATAGAAAAAGCTATCTGTCTAAGCAGCCTCTGTTCCAGGTGTTAATTAAGAATGCAGGGGATCAATGACAGGACCATGTCATTGCTGCTTTGGACATTCGACAGGAGGAGAACCCTCCCACCCACTCCATTTTTTTCCTTCCTAGGCCCCAGGGATGCTTCCTGTGAGCAAAAACACCCACCCAGGAGGCTTCCCTGAGGCCCAGGAGACCCCAAATGGAGCGTGGGCAACCCCGGCTCCGTTTTTGGCTTCTTGGGCTCTATGGAAGTTTTCTGGGAGCAAAAATGACCCCCCAGGAGGCTCCCCTGAGGCTCAGAAGGCCCCAAAATGGAGTGTGTGGGGTGCTGCATGCCCCCCTATACTCCGTTTTTTTCCTTCCTGAGCCACAGGGAAGCCTTCTGGAGCAAAAATACCCACTAGGATCTAGAAGCCTAGAAGGCCCAAAAAACAATGGGGGGTGGGTTGCTGCAAAAAAAGCCATTCCCACCAAGGTACATGGCCATGCCCACATAGCCACGCCCACAGAACCAGTTGTTACAAAATTTGAATCCCACCTCTGCTTGAACATCCTTATAAAGGATCAGAGGATGACTTTGTGTATCATGAAATTAGTTTCCTATGATCTTAAAGTGAAGTCAGTAAAAGAATTAAATATATATTATTGAGGTACATTGAACACCTCAGAAAATATTTGTATCATTACCAGGAACCCCAACGTGAAACTTTGCTAAAGAACTGACAGATAAGCTTGGATACCTCAAAGAGTGTAACTACTCCATGAAGTCTCATGGAGAGATGATGTTATATTTGCCCCACTGGAATCTGCAGTGGGCCAGTGATTAAAATTGTATTGTGACATCAATACAAATCCAAAGGGGTGGGGTGGGGTTGAAGTTGCCAACGTTGGTCATTTCAATGATGCTTCTTACACTGATAGAGATGAAAGCAAGAAAATCTTTCAAGCTGGGGAACACAGAAAGAAAGCTAATTTTTCTTTTGCCTTGTTCTTATCAATAGCATTTTGGAAAATCCCAGAGAACCATATCTATGGCTTTGCAGTCAATCAGGCTTGCTTGATGAAACCCTTCCAGCATTTGCTGGCAATTACGACAGGTAACGCAAACATGAGCAGGTCCTTTCTCAATGAGGGGACCTGGCAGCCGTCCTGAATATTTTTTTCCTGTCCCTTCTCTCTCTCCGGACATGTTTCCAGCAAAGCACATCAAAATGACCATACACTAGCTGAATTTCAAGTGGAGAACATCATTGGGGGTTTTCAAGAAGAGATTCAGATGGCCACTTGTTTGAAATAGTATAAGGTTTCCTGCCTGAGCAGGGGGTTGGACTAGAAGACCTCTAAGGTCCCTTCCAACTCTGTTATTCTGTTATGGTTGTGCCATGCCATTGTGATCTATGTTTTTTCATTTTGGTATTGTGCTGGATAAGAGCAATTGCTTTCAGTCTGCTTCCTTTGGAAACTCATCTGTTGCTATTGCTGTATTCTCAGCAAACCAAAAACTATCTTTCCATTTTAATGAAAAACGTACTCTTCCAGGAAAATGTAGAACCTGGGGGTGGGGTGGGGAATAAGATTGTCATCATAAGGTTAATTGAAAGGAGAACTGCCCAGCTGAGAGATCTGCCATTATCTGCCTCTAGCTGAAATCGTTTATCTTGTGTGAAAGCTGGTGACCTCCAGTACATGATTTTCACTAAACCATCAAAGTGTTAATCAAAAGTTGTTAGATGTTTTCATTAAAAAAGTTACTGAAAAAGGGATCAGAAAAATAAAATGTGAATCATTCTGGCTTTTGCTGAATCTGAACTGATTTTATGCTTCTGGAAAAATATAAATGGATTGCTTTAAACACACTCCACATACAAAGCACGTAATAAAATAGAATTTTATTTGACTGTTTTTGAAATTTTGCCCAGGCTGATTTTATTTGATTATAAAATTTTGATAATAATACCTTATTTTTGAAACAATGTTGTACATTTAAAAAAAATGAAACAATCCAACTGTGTGTTATGATTTTCAGATTTTTCATAGGGGTTTTATTAGACTCATTCTATGCTTTAATTTCTGTACTACTGTATTTTTTTTTAAAAAAATTAAAATAGTACAGAAATAAAATCTTAGAATGAGACAAATAAACTACTATGAAAATTATAGACTTTTTACCATTGGTTATATTTAGGAAAACAGTAACAAAATGGTTCAACAAAAATGAATGGAGATAACTTCTCATGCCTTTTCCACATAATTCAACCTGGGCTATCCAACAGAACCAACATAGCTTAGATTCAAGAAATATTGGAATCTATTATATGCTGGGTCAAGTAATTGATCTGTCAAGCTTAGAATAGTTTACACTGATTGGCAGAAGCTTTCTGAGGATTCAGTTAAGCTTTATTTATCTTTATTCAGAAATGGTTAAACTTTCCAAACTTCTTTGGATAAGGCCAATGGCCTGAACCTGGGTCCTTATTAATATGATACATACTATGTATTTTGTCCATCACTTGACTGCTAAGAGGTCAGAGAATGATCGAGCTTTTAAAAATATTGTTGAAAGGCAGGGAGAGGCTCTTGTTCCTTCCCCCCCCCCAAACCACTAGTGATTAAATCTTATGTCCAAAAACTGTTGCCCAGTGGCAGAGAATTTTGCACAAGCAGTCTTACGGACTTTTATTAACCAACAACTCAGTTCCATGAATGTTACATAGATAATGTAACATCCATTCAAAGGTATCCTTGTTGTGATGATATAACTTACTGGTGAGCAAAAAAGAAACAAGAGTCTAGAGAGATGTTGAAGGACTGTTCAAGGTAGGCACCGGAAGGATATTTTAGGAAGAAGACATACAACTCTCTTCCAAATAACTTAGTGCAAAAATATTTGAACAAATATTTTTGAAAAGAAGACCTCCTCCTAATCAATTGGCAGCCAATAGCATTGGATCTTCATGGAGAAAGATTATAAGAGCCTTCAAATATCTACTGTGTCCTATCAGAGGTTGCAGATTTTGCTCCAAAGATCCATGGCTAACTTAAAAAAAAAAAACCCAAAACCTTTACAAAACTTTTTATAGCATGGGCAGAATTAATGCTGAAGAAATTGGTGAGCAAATGAAGCCTCCTCATCAATTTGCTTAGATTACTAGGAACCAAGCAGCTGCCTCCCCATTAATTCAGTATAAACAATGGATGCATATATAATACTTGAATAAACATAAATGTACTTAGATTTATAAGGAAGTGGAGTGGTGGTTGTTTGTTAATTATTAGAAGTCAATAACAACATCTTTATTTCTTCAAACACCAAGTGATGAAAAGTGCATTCAGACTGATCCCTTTTCCATTGTAATGGAACTCGTGGGTGGCTGATGAGGGAGGGGCAGGAGTGGACAGCTGTTGGTAAGGAAGGCAAACCATAAAACATTCATGATGTCATCATGCAAATGCTATAGTCGTTTCCTCAGTTCTCATGATGGAAATATATAATGGCGGGCTTTGCTTGCTGGCATCTCCTCGTGCATGTAATCATTTTGATCATGCAGACGTCACTGGCTGGAAATAGATCAGCTCGGTTGCCAAAGACAGAACATTGGGATCCGGAGTTAATCCAAGAACGAAGTAAATCCCTTCTGTGAAGATGCCCTCTGTGTTCTAAAATATCTTGTTAGAAATAGACCTATTCTGGGGAAAGGCTTATTCTTTTAATCCAATCATTTTCTTTAAAGGCTCATTATAGTTGCTTGAGAAAAAAAAACCTTGTGGGGCCATCTAAAAATTAAACATAAACCTCCCTCTGTTCTGCAATATGTTTTTGGTCTTTAACCGTTCAGTTGCTTTCTATGTATACGCTACTCTTTTGGCACCATTTGTAGACATCCACATTCCTTAATTGACAACTTGCTGTTTTCTGCCCCCCCCCCTCCTAAAACAGGTCCTGCTACATCTCCTTGTGGGGTTCTAATCAACGTCTCCAGCTGCAGAAGGTACTTGCCCACTGGTTATGCTCTGTGCAAGGCAGACTTGGGAAAGGGTCAAAATAACCTTCTTTTCTTCTGCCTCTGTGGCTTCCAGACCCCATTCCGCTGCATAAGCACAGATGGTTGGTAAATGATAAATGAGGCACATAGGGAGGAAGCATTCCTCCCCCTTCCCACCCCAATCAAGCTTTGTCTGCCTTTTTCCTCCTAGCTAGGAATTTGATTTCATTATTTTTCCCCTTCAGGAAGACTCCCTAATTGAAATGTATGAGGTTGCTGGAACAGGATGCGAGAAGGCTTGTTGCTCAGCAAGCAAACTTGGGGATGTGGGAGAAGACAGCATGGAGACAGTCCATGCAACTATCCAAAAAGAGTTGCTGTTTGGAACATATAAATCCAAAAGCATAGATGCACCTGTGCATGAAGGCATTGGTGGTATAAATCTCTGCATAACATCAGGTAAGATGTACCTGTAATGTATGTTGAATAGGCAGAAATGCCAGGGCTGCATTAAGACCCTCTTAGGCCCCTCGGTACATTTATTTGCCTATGCCCTTGCTGTTGGTAATCAGGGTGGTTAGTGGGATAAAGGTATTCCTTGGCTCTATATTCTTCAATAAGTCACAGGAATTTTTCTTTCTCTCCCAATCATGTCACATGATTGGACTACAATAAGCAGACACCTAGCAAGTTAGTGCAGGTAGTTCTTGACTTACAACAGTTTCAAAATTACAATGGCATTGGAAAAACCATTTATCCCCATAAAAGCAATTTATGACCATTTATCTCAGTTACAGTCTTTGCTGCATCCTCATGTTTATGTGATCAAAATTCAGGTGCTTGGCAGCTGGTTCATACTGTACTTAGGACATACAGTACAGTACAGTATACAATGTCATGACTTATGACATTGCTATGTTCTCAAGGTCACGTGATCCCCTTTTGCGACCTTTTGATGAGCAATGTCAACAGGGAAGCCAGGTTCACTGAACAACCAAATTCCTAACATCAACTGCAGTGATTCACTTAACAACTGAGGCAAGAAAGGTTGTCAAATGGGGGCAAAGCTCACTTAACAAGTGTCTCCCTTAGCAACAGAAATTTTGGGCTCCATTGTGATTATAAGTCGAGGACTACCTGTAATAGTATCTTAAATATTTCAGTTTTAGGATGTGTGAATTTTAAATGTTAAAAAAATGAAAATATGAAAAAAATAAAAATTCATTCTTGTGGTTCCCCAGTGCTTTACAGACTCTAGGCCTGTGCCTTGAGAAAGTCAGTTGGTCAAACTACCTCCAACAATGGATGCACTTGCAAAGAAGTTTTCCACCATTTTGCAGTTTCGAATGCCCCTTCAAAACAAAAATGAATACAGCTCACAGTCAACTATCTTGCCTAGTATCAAGAATCAAACACTGGGGATCCACAAATCAGACAACGACAGCAGGCAATTGATTCAGTTGAAATGTGTGGAAGCTGGCTCAGTAATAATTCCTGCACTTGGTTCGATTCAGTATTGATTGAAGGATTGGTTCATTTCTCTTTGTAGTGTAATCTGCAAGAATCTGCATTCATTGCAAGCTGCATGGTAGGTAGAATCCATGGCTGCCTACATTGGCTTCTATTTAAGCCATGGTGATCTGGCTCTATGCTGTACCCACTGCTTGCATTTGATACCCCCCACTCACAAATCCTTCTGCATTATGGATCATTTGAGAATGTCACGCTACAAGCCTTAGACAACCTGCCAGACAGGCGGAGAAACGATCAAATCTTCCCAGA